GGTGAAATTTTACTTTAAAATCGTATTTAAGCAATTTCCATTCATTAACTAATGCACACCCTCAAATATACGCAATACTTAAAAGATGCGTAAATGGCAAAATGTCTAAATGACAGGATGGTACCGCGAAGTGATTGGAAAATAGTAGTAATGATTGACAACATAAAGTGCCGAAAAGTATCAACTCATATTAACTGAGTGATCACCAAAAGCACTGATAAAGCGGCAATACTCATATTACTCACCTACATGAGAAACGAGACTGTTTTAAGAGGTTTAACATTTTCTAGATCATATATTGTGTAGCATTGTATTTAGAAGACACTACCAAATGGCATCGAGAATACGTTAATAGAAAACAAATATCATTATTAATATAACTTCAAGTCTTTGGAGGAAAAGCATTGTACAAAAGGAACACCCTATATCCAATTTTCCAAATTAAAATCACAAGGCTTTGAAGGTTAGCACTCTATTTATAAGTTACGAATTGTTAAATAAATAATAGGAATGAGTCTTTACCCTTATCTAATTCGATTCAACAACAAGCCATGTATCGACTTAGTTGCTTCATCAGGACAAAATGGAAGAATGTGTTGTCTTTCATGTCAACATTGTCTGCCCTTGTTATTGCACTTCAAAAGAGAGAAATAGTATATTATGAACATCAGCTCATCAAATAAAAAACAACTTGGAGGAAAATAGACCTCAAGCCAAGCAAGCGGGTTACAACAACAACAACAAGGCATAAAAAGGGAAAATTAATTTAAAAAGAGAAGGGGACAAATGGGATTGGAAGAGAATACTATAGACGTGATGAAGAATACTTAGAGAGTTTAATTGGGTTTCGTAATTATATTGAAGTATTTATATCAAATGGCAGGCGTCTTGATAGTTATCATTAGTCCTTTAGTTGACCATAGAATTCACAGAGGGGAAGGAACATCAAAGTGAAAAAAGTCGAGATGGGGGGGGGGCGGAACAGAAGAGTGTTTCAAAGATGTAAAAGAGACAGAAACTAAGGTAGAAAGAAGGTGAGGTGAGTACTGTGGAAGTAGTGGAATATGCCATACAGTGGGGTGATGGTAGGTTGGAGTCAGAAGTCAACTGCCGGTTGCCCAGGGTGCACCACGTGGAGGTAAGTCTATCGCACACCCCTCAAACTAAATATTTAAATTCGATCTAAATAAATGCATCCCAATTGAATGCAAATATATATTCCACAAATAAAAACCACAATGTTTACCATTTTTAATGTAAAGGAATGATATTATAATTTTGGAGTATACGTTTCACACATCTTGGTGTTCTAGATTAAGATCAGTCACTTAGTTGGTTAAAACAAACAGAGATTAATGTATTCAATTAATAGATATATGCATTTAAGAAAGATTTCCAGCGATTTGATTGATACCATAAGTGATTTGTCATTCCTTCAAGGGAAATAAGTAAAAGAGAGGGAATTTTCCGTTTTGAAGTGCTAAGAGTTTCTAGGTAGCTGAATTGCTATTTCCAGTTTTTATACATGCCATGTTATTGGAATAAGTTTTGAGTAATTTCGATAAAAGATGTGATATTTTGAGTGTTGGCTGTCGTGAGAGCCATGATCTGTTAATTTTCATTTTCGTTGGTACATCTTTTCTTTAGCGATTATTATTTAGGTGATACGGCGAGATGCCCAAAAATATAAATATACCCAAAAAATTCATATTGACACGACCGAATGTTTATGTAGGTAAACACTTTCATTACTTAATAAGTTATGATTTGATAATTACCAATTTAATGAACTTTAGAGCATCTAGAACAGTTAATTATACATTACTTTGAACTATTACCTTCTAATTTGATTAAATCGATTTGTTATAAATATGGTTTAACAAATAAACAGAACTCCATTAGAAGCCCATCAATGTATTCATCATATGGCGCCTTGGAAAAATTCAATATTGTTCAATATTATTATAAATTGTAAGTTTATTATCCAATGCATACTAATTTCACATAGAGCAATGACGAATTCATTTACATTTTCCAAAATGTTAAATCTAGTGCTAATAATTGGACTTTAAACTGTTATAAGTGATAAAAAAATATTTGTCTCTAAATACTGATATTTTTTAATAAAATAAACAATTTTATTAAATGTGTTCAGTCATTTGATAATTTAATCCCTCAATGCACTTCAATATTTCATGTCTTTATTGAATTTGCGAGAGTGGTCCTTGCCTCCCAATGTCAATGAATATGAATATATAGCGCACTTAGAAAACAGTAAACTAAACGATTATCATTAATTATTAAAAAAACTTTTAACTAATATAAGCATTAGTTACATCACATATTATGGTTTTAAGTTTTGAATGTTGGGGAGCGAAAATCAATTTACACGATCAAAATCTTCATGAATTATGATAATTTGCCCACGCTTTTGTTAGGATTTGTCCATCAATAACTAAAAATAGTTATTCCTAGGTCACCATGTGTGCTTCGGGTAACAGATGTGGCCTTTGAATTCTAGTTATTAAAAATTGGACAATTTTTAAAGCATTAAAATTGGAATCATATCATGATAGGCTAGATTAAGGGAGTATTCACAAATTAATGCATTGTGATTTACTTATATGCTTCAATATTAAGTTTTGGCTCAATCCTATTTATTTAATACCTTGAATTCTATACTTACGGTATTTCATAAAAATTGTCATTAAGTTCTAGATTCGTTTGTGCCCATCCTAAATTATCAGAATTTAAATTAAATGAATGTCTTCATAGTAAGTAAAGGGTCATACTCTTCAAAGGGTTTATTAAAATCCAAAGTTGTGTAAAATGATCGCCTTTAAAATATACCATTTGTGTGCATGGGAAATAATATTTTGAATATTTGCATACGTAACTGAAAATTAAGGCATGTGCTTAAAATTTCACCGTCAAATGCGTTGATATAACAAAATCCAAACAATGGTTACATTTTTGTTCGCAATCAACAAACTAAAAAGATGAAATAAAATGAATTTTAGTAGACATTTCAAAAAGTTATTATGGTTCAATCTGGACCGTCCACAGTATAACGCAATTTACATGAGTTCATTTAAATAATATGAGGATTAAAGGCTATTTTCCCCTTTAACGAGGCGCGAAAATGAAATAAAATGGTGGCTTCGTTAGAGGCAGATAAAAGGCATCCATCAAGCATTGTTGTTTCACATTTAAGCTTGCGGGGTGCGCGATAGACTTACCTCCACGTGGTGCACCCTGGACAACGTATTTTCTTACGGCAAAAATGTCTATCACTCGGCATTCGTTTTTGACTTAAATTTATTATGATTAGCTTTAAAAAAGGCTATAAGAAAAACCGCCCTCGTCGGGGACTGGAGACGACAATCAGCTGTCCTAAGGCAAGCCATCTTACAAGCTAAACGCACTTCCTTCGACAAATTCATCTCAAATATCAACTATCAAAGTGATAGCCAACGCACTTTCAAATTTCTGAGAAACCTGCAAAACAACAGAGAAAAACCCAAGAAAGAACCAATACGCTTAAACAGCAAATTGCTTACCACCGACACCGAAATAACTAACTGCTTTGCAAGGTTATATCCCAACAAGCAAAAGAAAACCCCTTATGTCAGAAAATCTTCAAGAGATTTAAAGATACAAGTAAGACATTTGGGTGGAATTAAGAAAGACACGAAAACACCAAATAATGTGTTGGGTGGAATTAAGAAAGACACGAAAACACCAAATAATGTACTTACTGAACCATTCCGACCTTGCGAACTTAATACTGCGATAAAACAGCTAAAGTGCAAGAAGTCTCCTGGCGAAGACGGTATTCATCCAGAATTTCTAATTAGAATGGGACCAAAAAGCCAAGGAAACCATGCTGACGCTTTACAACAAAATCTGGGAGACCAGTCTCGTACCGAACCAATGGAAAGTTGCCATAGTAATACCAGTACTAAAAAAGGGCAAAGACCCTAGCAACTTTGACAACTATAGGCCTATCTCCCTCACAAGCGTGCTGGCTAAACTTATGGAAAGAATGGTAAACAGGAGGCTGACCTGATTCCTTGAGACCAACAACATTCTTAGGAGTGAACAAGCACGTTTTAGGCCACAAAGATCAACAAATCAACAAGTAGTCACTTTCTCCCAACACATCAAAGATGCCCTTGATGCAAGAAATACCCTTACGGCNGTTTCAGAGCTGTAAGAGACAAACACAAAGGTAGAAAAAAGGTGAGATGAGTACTGTGTAAATAGTCGAATATGGCATAGAGTGAGGTGATGGTAGTTTGAAGATTAGAAGTCAACTGCCAGTTAATAGACTTTTTTGCCGTATGAGCATATGTTGCCCAGTGTGCACCACGTGGAGGTAAATCTATTGCACACCCACCAAATTAGATGGGGAATCAATGCGACTTGCCATGACTGTGCCAATCACGGCTTGGAAGTCTCGGCTCACCCACCAAGCTCTTCCAGACCAGTTACTGGCTGCTTCAACGACACCCGGAGTGGAAACTGGCCACATTGACCGCAGTAAATAAGGAAAATTTTGATGAGAGAGAGGAAGTCCGCAAAACCAATTTAAAAAAACCACGGCCTTTTTGTGGCATACATCAGAGATACTTTTAGAATTATGGCTAGTGAAATATACTGTGCCTTTTGTTTTGACCACGTGATATAGGAGAGCAAATATGTTACTAAAACTAAAAAACGGCCTTCTTTGTGTGCGCTATTAGTAAAAAAACATTATTTATGTTCAAATTGAGTTCACCAGATTGAAATAAGCAGAGCCAATCGACGCGTTAGTGAAGACAAGAGTTGAGAGAACTACTGCACGGTGCCTTTTAACTCTTACCATTTACGCTAGGACATTATCCTAAGAATAACCTTTTCACAGAAAGAAGAAGGCAATTTTCTTTTCCGAAAAGACTAGAAAAAGAAAATGTTTTGATTCTAATCAGTAATTGGTAGATTAAAGTCCCAAAATCGATTTAAAGAACTCGAATGGTTCCAAAAAGTTTTGTTTCCACAAAAGTTGCCGATTTTGAAGCTTGATAGAGCTGCGTCATGGTAAAATGCTGCAAATAGTGGCTATAAATTATTTGCAATAGTGAGTGTACATACAAAAGGGAAATAAAAAAGTACACGATGACTTACAGAAGGGACTTTTCTGGTTTCCATAGAGGAAGAGATGAGGTTCCCTCCGAAGAGACCAGTGACTGTGTTGACTCTTGAATGGGAGACGAGGGGAGAGGGTGTGGTGAGACTAGATCGACTCTGTAGGTCCCGCACATTCTTGCCGCCTTGCTGTTTGGCTGCCTGATGTCGTAAACGGAAGGCCGCACTGTGGGAGATAACAGGGCGCTTCGGAGTGGGGGGCGCTCGTGCAGGATGATGACCCCCGAGACTCTTTGCATCACTCAGTGGAGCAACACTTGACGAAAACTTCAAGTCTGGAGGGTTTGAAATCGAAGTGGAAATTGCAGGAACAGATTGTTCTTCAGTAAGCAATTGGAAACCCTGTAGAACAAAGTGCTACTACATTTGGTCTTAGTTACATTATTCATATTAATGATTCAGGAACTATATCGTTAAAACTATTCAGAAAGGCATTTACAAAGCACATTGGTGATTCAATGAAAATTTGCCATCATACAAGCATATTGAACGAACTTGCATGGGGTTTTAGCTCTCTGAAAACTAAGAAAGCCGACGATTTAAAATAAAAACTGTGCCCACTAAACGCCGTCTACCCTTCTGTAATACTTAAATCCTTGAAGCCAATATATCATGTCGTATCGTATTTCTGAAATAAATGGTCAAACTGTTGCTTTTATGGGAGCCAAACTTAAAGAGCATTCATCGGTTGTGAAAAACAATCATGATGAAATTAAATGTGAAGGCCATACAGCTTATTTCATGTGAGCAATTTTAGCAGCTATGGTGGTAGTTGACCCACATTTAGCCATTAAAACCTTGTTTTCCTACTGGTTGGTGTCTTATTAAAATACGTAAGTGCACGAAATATGCATTTTAGGCAGATATTTGAAAGTAGCTTGAGAACATTCATAATGAGGCAATAGAAGCAAAAACGTAACATACAGTTTAGCAATAAATAATAAAATGTGGAGGCTATAAGGGTAGCTTAAAGTGGGAAAAAATGTGCCGAAATACGCACGATCCTAAGCACTTATGGCATCTTGGCGGATAATTGGAAAACAGGGGGTCTACGGGATCTCTTGAATCTTCGATGGAAAAGAAGTATCTCTTGATGAAATGTTACCACTTGTCAAAACTGGCAAAACAGAACAAGTGTAGCATTATTGTAGTAGTATAAAAATGGTAGATCAGAAATAAGAAAGGTCGAGCATTATCTGAATACAATGTAAATAGATTATAACATCTTCTCGACTTCGATAAAGAGGTGTCTAATTAAAAGATCACATGAATTGAGAGCATGGCAAATGAACTTAATGATGGATGTTATTTTTATCTACTAAACTACACCATGAGATATACAGACACCCCCC